CGCGGCTATCAATTCTGGATTCTCGGGCAAAAGTATGCACAGCGCTCACCATAAGAACGAAACGACCAGCACAACAACAACCATCATCGACCCATTATCACCCAGAAGACGCGAACAGCTGGGTCGTCTCTTGGAAGAACTGCCGTGCGGCAAGGGACACATTTACGGATTCGTGGGCATTCGATACGATCCAACCAAGGAGTCTCTCCATATACCCAAACGCAATTGTTGGTTCTTGCCATCGTATGCGCTTCGCCAAAGTACCGATGCCTTTTCCAAACAAGATCACACAACACAACAGCCTTTTGGCTATGTCGGTCTGGCATTCCCATCGCTCAAGGATCCAGCGTACAAGGATCGCTACGAGGATGGCATTGTGACGGCTGCGTTTGTCGCGGGAGATGTGCCCTGGGAATGGTTCCAACAATGGAAGGATACCCGTGTCCACAAACGAGGAGACGACTACAATCAGCTCAAGCAGAGCTTTGAAAAACGACTCTTGGACTTGCTGTATCTCAAATACCCGCAGGTCAAAGGAAAAGTACAATACATTGACTTGGGTACTCCCATTGATACAAGGACCTATCTGGGTCGATTGACGGGAGCCAGCTATGGAATTCCACCCACCATTGCCAAGGCCAAGGCGGATGCCACTTGGTTGAGACCCAAAGTAGATCTTCTGCCGGAAGGGATGTATTTGGTCGGACAGGATGTGACGGTGGACGGATTTGCACCGGCCGTGTTGAGCGGTTTGATGTGCGTGGCTGTCATGGAGGGTGTCCTGGCATGGCTCGATGTGATACCCATGTTGGGTGGGTGGATTGAGACGGCCAAGATTCTGTGAGGATGATATTATTGTAGAACATACAGGTGAAGTTGTTGGAATTGAAAGCAGGATGTTGATAGATACGCTTGGACAAGCCTCTTCCATTCGGTACCGTCAATTAAGTGGGCTATGCCAGGAGTAGTTCTCCCACATTTGTATCCTCAGGACTCGGGATGGCCCGTACGCACGGGATGCGGTTGAGGGGTTGGGGAGGATGCCTCCGGTGTTCTCCTGGCTGGGAGCTGGTCCAAGTGCCATTATTGGAGTGGTGCTAGGTGGCGTTGGCCTTCTTGCGGGTGCGGCCAAGTGTTGCTCCCAACGCTGTCCAAGCTTGTGCAGACCAAAGACGGTGTTTGTTCTCCACCGTAGATAACTTCCCTACTCTAAAACCCTTTGTGGATGCAGGAACCTGCTCAAAACCCCTGCAACCTGAAGCTACCCATTTATGTCTCCGCGGATTTCACAAAGCCAAACCCTTTGGCCTTTGGCCCCCGTACTGGTCCTCAATTTCTTGCCCCTGATCCCACGGAACCTAGTCCTGAATTTCGACTCTTCTTTGCTTCAGCCTGGCCATAGCTCACTTCGGTAGACTATCCTCCTACTCTAAACCCCCCTCGTTTACCTGATGGTGGTACCAGTAGATGGATGATGGTTTACACTGACCATGACCACAGTCCAGATGGCGGTGGTACCACACACCGAATCTGGCTTGAGACGAGATATGATGAAGAGAAATCGCGCCCGAATTCCGTCGTAAAAGTCGATGGGTACCGGTAGCCATCCAATCAGTTTTCACGGTGAGAGGAGAGGGAGGACGTGGTTCACTAGTACTGGATGTGTCGCCAAGACCTGTCGAAGCACAAATGTGATGACTCTCTGTAGCTGGGTGGAATAGCCACAGTCACATAAATGTAACCAAAATACATTTCAACTCTGAAAACCAGAATCTGGTACATGTATAGGCCACAGGGAAAGCAACTGAGATACTATTGGTGAGCAAAACTGGTTCATTGGCCGAAGCCGACTCGAATGCAGCTGGAACTGATTGACAAGAAGCTTCAGTTTGGTACTCAGCTGAAGTTCTGTTCTAAGGTGCAAGCATCGGCAGCAGCGCGGCATCAAATCAAAGAGAAACCAAGGACCCAACACTGAGAAGGAGTGATTGGCGAGGTATTGGTGTGGTAGTAGCTCGCACTTACTTGTACAACACCCCCTCCTTTGAATTGAGATTTCCAAGTCCGCGCGTGCTCGCGTCATTGGATAGGATGCCATTCCGATGGCTCGAAGGGCAGGGAGATTCGATTTCGAGGCGCGGCGAAAGATGGCATCAATTCCTCGCGCCAAAGATCGACGAGGCCGACCAAGACGCCAAGAGCAACTGCACCTCGCTGTCACTTGCCCCACCACGCCATTAGCTCCAGCCTGTGTTATCCTTTTCCGCTGCCTCGACTTCCGCTGCCGTCCATTACTTCTTGGCTGACCTGAACTTGTCTCTCTCCTGTGAAAGAGTTGCCGTCTAAAATCTACCGCCACTATGCCTCGCTCTTCCCCGAGGCTAAAGTCGACTGGCCAGGACGACAAGCCTACGCTTGAGGTATCTACGCCAGTGTTAAAAGACGATATTGATGACGAAGTTAATACCATAAGAAAGACCGCTCCCAAAAAGAGAAAGACAGCAAAGACAATCGACAGCGAAAGTGAAATGAACGCCCAAGAAGAAGCCGAGCGTCCCAAAAAGCAGACAAAAGCTACCAAAAAGAATGCGACGACGACGAAGAAGAAGACGGAAAACGACGACAATGACGCCGATGAGAAGGAAAAGGAAGTCCCCAAAAAGAAGAGCAAGAAAGCTCCCGTTCAGTGCATCACGGAACGAGACGAATTGCCCAAACTCTGGACTGATTCACAGGCCAAAGCCAATGGCAGTTATACGCTCAAAATTGCCACCTGGAATGTGGCGGGTCTTCGTGCCATTCTCAAGAAGGATCCCCATGCGTTGGCTACTCTGGTGACCAGCCACAACATTGACATTCTCTGCCTCCAAGAAACCAAACTCCAGGAATCTCATCTCGACGATCCAAAATTACAACTACGGGGACACTTGCTGGAAGAGCAGGGATATGATGCCTACTACAGTTGTGCTACGGCCAAGAAAGGCTATGCGGGAACTGCCGTCTTTGTCAAGCGGCGAGGTGCTGCAGGCAAAAAAACAGCGGGCAAACAACAACAAATGGATATTACCAGTTTCTTTGGCAAAAAGAAGAAGAAGGATGACGCCAAGAATGACTCCAAGAAAGCTACAGCCACAGCAGAAGAACTCCCCGTGGATCCCAAACTCTTGGTTCCAGAACAAGTCACCTATGGATTGGGAGCCAAAAAGCACGATGGCGAAGGCCGTGTCATTGTCCTGGACTTTCCTGGATTCACAATGGCCAATCTCTATGTGCCAAATTCGGGACAAAAGCTGGAGCGATTGGATTACCGCACGGAAGAATGGGATAAGGATCTAGTGGCATTTATGCAAGCCAAGCAAAAGGAGCGTGGTGTTCCAGTCATGTGGTTGGGTGATCTCAATGTGGCACACAAACACTACGAGGCATACAACTTTGGCGCCAAGCATTTGGACAAGCAAGCAGGATTGACGGCGCAGGAACGAGCATCCTTCCAAGCGCAACTGGATGCCGGCTTTGTCGATGCCTTTCGCCACTTTCACCCCAATGCCAAAGGACACTACACCTATTGGAGTCAGCGGGCTGGTAACCGAGAACCCAACAAAGGGTTGCGCCTGGATTACTTTGTCTGTGATTCAAAGATGTTGGATGCAGACAACTCGAAGGTAGTGGCACGTGATTCCTACATGATTCCAGAGCAAATGGGAAGTGATCATGGGCCGGCTGTGTTGGAGTTGGAGATCAAACCTTGAATGAATCTTCTAAAACAATCTTCCCAGTGAAAGTTCAGACGAGAGACCATCAAGTTATTGGGGATGGCTGACAACGTAAGCTCACAAGCGATGCAGTAGTTTTAGCTGCAAAGCATTGGGGCATTCTTTGGTTTGGTTCTACATGTATGTGGAGGGTCAATTTGGAAGAGTAAAATAGTGCATGTATTCGTTCGGTAACGAAACCCTGCCATGGTCCCCTTCTTGACCGTAGACCCCCGTGCAGCACTGGCTAGCTAGAAAACGGTGCTGAGCGTATGGGTCACAAACACATGGGCATAAAAACGACTTCCACAGCCTCTTGACTCACTTTTACGGATCAATTGCCCGAGTTGCCAGCCAGCAGACAAAGTAAGTTTCAGTTTCCACACCGCTTTGGGGGCACTTGGTGTTGTGTCGTTGTGTCTCTATTGGTTGCCATTCGATTCCAGTCAATTACTGGACTGCAAATCAGAACGGAACTATTTATGGAAAGGGCAATGCGAGCTTTCCAGATCGATAGAGCTACTTCCGTGGATAAGCCAATTTCTTGGTCCGCGGTTCCTTCCTCTACCGAGGGCTCAATTGAGCAAGCCACGGTAGATCTCTTTATTTATGCTCTAATTATTAGTGGAAAGCGTTTTTCCTGAAGCCACGTGGCGTACCTCTCAGCAATCAGCAAGCCGTCAAGCTTTCCTTCGTTTTTGAGCAGACTTTTGCTTTGAAGTGGGGCTGTAGATGGCATTCGGTAGCTGGCCTCATATCCTCAGCAAGTAAGGACCGTTTTTACATTGAGTCGAGAGCAAAATACAGTGGGAGCGAGCTAGACCTACTGTATAATAAGATCTCCGTCCGCAACCAGAGATGTTGACAATTTGATTCCAAAGTCATAGCTCCACTACTGAGAGGCAGCCTACGAACCTCCATAACCTCTCAGGGCAGTACGCCCGACTATAACTTACTACTGGATATCCCTTTGTGGCCATCGAAGGATTTATATGCATACAGGTATAAAGATATTAGACAGCAGGCGTGATTTTACTTTTGGCGCGAATTATACTTTGTTACTATGCTTGGAAGCGTCCATGGTAAACCATACTCGGTGTATATTCAGGACTGAATCCATTTCAAGATCTGCGGGGAACCCCAAATGAAGACCCTTTGGCACCCAGATTGTGCACAGCAAGTGGTCATGGTGGAGGACAAACGACAGTGGGGCAAACAATGAGATGCCAAGATCCAACATCATGGAGTCTAATAGGAGAAGCTGCCGGTCGCCAAGATCTCAACACCGCTTGGAATGCTCTCTTCTTCGCCATTATCTTCATCGCCATTATCTTCCTCGCCATTATCTTCCTCGCCATTCCCATCGATGGTAGCTTCGTCTTCTTCTTCGCGGCTGGTCTTCTGTTTCTTGCATGGGCTCTCATCTTCATCAGAGTTCGATGAATCCGAAGTGGCAGTGGTGGAACTCGTGGTCTTCTGAGAAATGGGCGAGCTGTCGGTCGTCTGAGAAACCTCCTCCGCAGCAAACTGGGAAAACACCCAATCAACTGGACGTTTCAAGATCTCATCAATCACGACCTTTTTCGTACCAGCAGATGCCGTGCCACTGCTTTCTTCACTGGGTTCTTGGCTGGGACCAATGCATTTTCCCAAGTCAGAAGGCTCTTCCATGGCTGGTTCTTCTGCCACGGCTGGTTCTTCCACTGGTTCATCCAAAAGAACATCTTCGGGTTCCAGGCCTACAAGGTCATCTTCATCGTCCGCGGTGTGGTTCGTTCCATCAGTGTCATAGACATCCCCAGCCCTGAAAAGTGTCTCTGGAACCACACGGGAAAGATCATCTTGCTTGTCCAAGAACCGCTCAAACTTTCCGAGATTGATGCCTCCCATGTTGACCGAATCCTCATCGTCACTGGACGCTTCGACCTTCTCAGTCAGCAAGTCAATCTCTCCCAACCAACGATGGTACCGACGGATGTAGGCATCTTCATTGTACCGCCAGATCTCACAGAAGTGAGTGGTCTTGTGGGCTTCCTCGAACGGGTTTGGGAGGAGAAGCTTCAGCATGATGAGATGTTCAAAGATGAACATGTCAGGATGATCATTCTCATAAGGAAGCATACTGCGGCTACCATCCTCCAAGAGGTATCGAACCCAAAGGATGCCATGAATGTCGTTTCCATAGATCCATTCTTTGATGGGAGGATACCCACCAAGTTTTCGGTCCTTGTTGATTTCGACAAGCTTCTTGTTCGCTTCAGTGCGCAAGTCCATCCCAGCAGCCACCATTTCTGCCAGCTTCATCTCAACGTACGCCATGTCTTGCTGGTACTGCTCATGAGTGTGACGGAGAACTTTGTTGTCTCCTGTCTCGACGTTTCTTGCAAGTCGCGCCACAGGAATGTACTCGGGCATGGGATCGGTCATCTTACAATGAAGAAAGGTGGAGGTCTGACTGGTTCTTTTCTGCTGAAGTTCACGTCCTTCGAGCAAAGTTGTGGTCGCTGTTTGCCATACATCAATCACCGCTGACGATACAAGAAAGCTCGAGCTGGAGTGTCTGACTGCTGGAGTGTCCTCGGTGGGAGTATCGGCATGCAAATATTTGAGTGAATCCAAAGCTTTTCGTGCCAAACAATGCCAATGAAATCATGGGACATCGGTTTTGTTTGCCACCAATATTCGCATTCGATCATTCGAAACTTCGTCTCATCACTTCTTGTGCATGCAATACGACCAATGCAGCAACGATTTCTATTGCTACGTTCAGTGAAAAATAGTGCAAGGTTCTATAAGCCTTAGTAATTCGTAGTAGTAAAACGTCCGGCATTCATTTACTTGTTGTTCTCTTTCTCGGGCATAGATGCGTCCTTCACCTTGCCTGCTAGGGCCTTCACAACTACAAAAGGAGAGTCTTGCTTTCGAGAACCGAGCAACATTGCCCGATGACCCGCAGGATTGTCATAAAAAGAAAGCAAGTTATCGAGGATGCACTGTGTTGTAAGTCCTTTCATGGGATCTCGTTCTTTGTTGTCAGACCGGAAGAGGCCTAAGTATCGTGCGACACGGGACAACTGGGCATTATTCAGTGAGGCAAGGTAGGAATCAAAAGAGTCAATCATCTTGGAAAGGCAACGTCTCTTGGAGGAATTGCCTAGACCACTCTGGTATAAACGATTCGGATTCCCTCGTGCACTTGCTTTAGCTGCATCTCCTCTCGCATTCGCACTTGTTTTTCGTAGTATCTCCAGCTTAGTCACCAACAGGCCGTGTTTGCTTCGAAGGTAAATAGCTCCTGGACAGCTGTAGCCAAGGTGTTTGTAGCAATCCTCGCAGTCGCCAACTATATTGCCTTGCTTCCATTGCAAGTGACAAACTGATTTGGTAGCACGTACCATCATATCTGCAACTTGATCCGGCGACAAGTCCATCTTGTGCTTGCGCCTTACGTCTTCGAATGGGATCTTGTTCCCCTCCATTGCCGCCAAGACAAGTCTGATCCTTCTGTCGTCGATTGGAATTCCGATTTTGTATCCCACGTTCACTAGCCAGCTGGAAGGATTCCCATACGCATCCCTTCCAAGTGACACCACATCTATCTTTTCACGTAAGAAGCCACTTGTTGCAATGGCGAAAATAGAGGCACTTCTTGGTATCTCGATGGTACAAGGGTCAGCCCGTGTGTGAGCGTCTTCCTGTAACAGTCGTGGGGCAGTGTGGACAAGGAAAGCAGCAAGAGAAGCGTTCTTGGAACAGTCAGCGGCAACACTCTTGATACCATGCCGGTTAAAACTCTCATTAGGACAGTTCGTTGGATATACACCAACTTCCCCACTGCAAGCATAATTCCAGTTCCATCGAGGATAAATGCAATACTCCTTGCGAAGGTGATCAGCTGCTGCTTTCTCACCGCGATTGTTGCTCCAATCATCAAGATATAGATCAGTCACAGTTCGACGCTGTTCAATTGTTTTCGTACTACCGATGTTGGAGACATGTCGATAGGCTATTCCCTTGGGAGCAGCAAAGATCTTGTTCTTCATCTTGCCAACATAGCTCTTTCGTTTAGCGAATGCCTGCATCACATGAAAGAAACAGTTAAGAACAGCTTCTCCATGAATACAGTCATCATCGCTGTCAGCGCTATCAGAGCTCTCCAAATGAATATCTTCGTTGTCTCCCTGAACTTGTGTAAGGGGCACTGCATCGTTGTTCAATGTAGGAGAAGGTGGGTATTCTTCGATTTCCTCTACAGCAAACTGTCTGCGTTCGAACGAAGGCTTCCCTTGTTGTTCTTTGGATGGGGTATCGCACAAAGAAACGTTCTTCTTGTAGAAGACATGCGAATTCACGAACGTATCGGCATCATCACTGGTACCCCAGTCAATGGCAAAGTCCACACCGAATAGCCTCGAACAAAGGTCTCGCATGCAGTAAAGGACCAAACAATAGGGATGGAATCGTTCGCCTCCAGAACGTAGATACAAGATGGGTCGAAACGAGGAGGTAACCTCATCTTGACCACCTCGCAGCTTGACAGAGACACTACCAACCGTGATAAGGCAGCTCTGGTCTCTTATCATGCCACCAGTTCCATCACAGCACAACTGTCGTGTGCCTTTCCTCCTCAGTGCTAGATGCATCAGTTGGAATAGTCCACTCGGTGAAAACACGATGAAAGCCCCTTCGATTCTTTCATCGAAATTGCTGCTCTGTTTGGTTTCTTCGTGTTCCAAGACACTCTTCCTGTACCGGTCTACCACATCTCCACTACCAAGGTTGACTGTAAACATTGTTGCTGGGTTCGAAACTTGAAGTGCACTTGCTATTTCCTCGGGAGATCGATAGTTGCAACGTCGAACATACGTGCTTGGCAACTTCAGCTCCCAGTGAGAGAGAACCCTGATTAATACGTCGTAGCTTCGAAGATTCGAAAAGCCAAAAAGCTTGCTCTTGATGTGGGACTCTCTCTGATTGGCTATATAGTTTCGCAACTGTCTTGTAAGGTGTTCCCTTGCTTCGGTGTGGACAACATGATACCGGTGGTCTAGGAACTGAACATCACTGCGAACAGTGTTCGTGATCGATTTCATGACCTCGTCTGCTGTCACTCGAAGAATAGAACGTCCAGCTTCTGTCTGATCTGCGACGAATTTCTGTACAAGTGGTACCAACGCAGGAGCAATGCCATATTGGTCTTTCAGATTGCTGGGTTTCTTCTGCAGTTCGTGGTTGTGCTTGCTGTTGGCCATTCGAATATAGTTCCGGAAACGATGGCTGTCAAGAGATAACTCTCCGAGATCTCGAGTTTGTCCTCTCCAGGGGCACCTGCTTGTACTGGGATCTTGCTTGTCACCCACTCGGCAACAAAACTTGAAGACCTTTGTGCCATCATTGTTCATGACAGTGCCATCAGGCCTAATGCATTGCTTGCTGACTCCATTGACTTCAATGAATCCACCATACTTGTCGTACAGCTGGGACTTGGCCTCTTCCTTCGTTGCGCATGGGTAACATGATGGATCCTCGACGTATTCACTTGCTTGGGTAGATTTAGCAGCTGTTGCAACCGAATTCTGTGATGCAGCAACACTGATGCTAGGAGGTTGAAACCCGGTTCCATAGGACAATGCAGGGGAGGCATTTCGAGACCAGCCGCCTGGATAGTACTGTACGTAAGCGTATGGTGGGGGGTACGGGACGTAACGATTGGCATTCCAGTCATATGATGGTACCGGTGGCGGTGGTGGTGGTGGAGCATATCTCGACCAGTAAAAAGGATGGCTACTGTGAGCGCCACTGCCATTATTGTCAGGAGCATTTTGCGATGGTACGTTTTCGCCATTCTGCGAGCGAATATCCAAATACGGGTATGGTGGCGATGAACGGCGAGACGTCATGGCGATACCTAGCTAGATAAAGAAAAAATTACAACAGAGCATTTCTGCGAGTGCAATTTGGAACTGACATAATCAGTACAGTACTATTTTCTTTAGCGATACTTCCAGCCATCGGAGCATTTGGTCCCAACTCCAAAATTGAGTTGCCATGTCGCAAACACCCTCTTTGGGTCCTCTGAATGGCGATTCCCAACACCGAATTTTCCTACATCCTTCTCCAAATTGTGAGTTGCAATTTGGAGACGCACACGTACATGGGCACTCTGGCAAGTCACATGAGACGTCCTTAACCAAATTGTTCGAATAGCACACCTTGCCTGCTTTCGCGCTGCTTCATCCCAGGTTTTCCAGTGAAGGCGCATCATCTCCAGTTCATTATTCGAGATCTCCCACCAAGGCAACCATGGCGCGACAGAAGAACACCGAAAGTAACAACAAAGTACTTCCTGTTGTTGTTTGTTATCTAGTAGCACGGCAGAGGTGAGAGTGCGAGAGAGTGCTGTATGTTATTCCATTGCCTTTTTCATGGTATCTGTTTGTTTCTTCTCCCACATTACAGCCATTTGCAATGTTGGAAGCGGGTTCATTGGGGGTTCCCAGAAGATTTGGAGATGGGTCACGAGTGGTTCAGCAACGGTAAGTGGTCCACTGCTCATTCGTGTGTTTCGCCAACCATGTTTCAGCAAGCACGTCTCACTCATTCTTTCTTGTCACTTTTTCCTCTGCCGGCGTGGTGGCCAATGTGTATGGCCAGGAGTACACAACACCCAGTACGCCCTCATGAAAAGAATCGAATCCCATTGCTTGCAAAAAAGTATTGAAGTTCCAACACTAGCTAGCTAGCTACTAGTAGCCAGCCAGTAGCTTCCCTTGGAGATGGATTCTTGTTATTTTTTACCGGGGCGTACTTTGCCAAGATTCTCGGGAAGGTTGAACATGAGAGTTGGCTTTTTAAAAAGTAGCGATTGTTGCTTCCCAACTGCATCGTACTGCTAGCTAGAGATAGTCCAGTGGCTAGCTAGCTATTGCTACTGGTACCGGTAAGCCAGGGAGGCTGGCCAGAGTGGCACCTAAAACATGTTTGGGCAACCGTCCACGCGAAGGTCCAGGAAGACAGGTTTAAAATGAAAGTTGGGGTAAACATGGGGTTAAAATTACATTTTACTCTCAATGTTTGTATATAATTTAAAAATATACCGCATCTACCTACGTTGTCTTCCAGCCATTTCCGACCTTGTGTGCATGGTTTACCACCTTCAACCGCCTTCGACCGACTTCCACCGCCTTCAACCACCTCCACGTGGACCCCCTGCACTCCAATCCAAGACTGGTTAAACGCTTGAATGACATCACCAGCTCATCATATGAGAAAAGAACCATGAACCTCAATAGATCCTGTTTGTTCATTCCTGGGGAGAAATCGAATCCTTTTCTGGCTTCTTTTCCTTTGAACTGCCCTTCTTACTTCTTACCGAAGTCACTTTTTTATCTCTTTTTTTAGACTCCCACGCTTACGTCAGAGTTAGTTTCCTTGATGCTGACCTATGGCTTCAATGTGGGCATAACACAATGACCTCTCATTTATGATGCGGAAGATTTCCGAAAATGCCAGCTGGGAGATCGAAGAGGACCAATAACAAAATGTTCATACGTCAGAGGTTCTCGAGCCAACATGATCATTCCACTCAGTCACTCAGAATGATTGCACAACCATAAAAGTTTGAAGTTTGAGGCAGCCAACCAAAACGTTGCACTCAAATCAAGTTTCCCTTGGACAACACCCCACCATCTTGCTTCACAATTGATTGCCATTGGCCCAAATCATCCATCACATCTATCGCTGAAGCATCTTTAACTATAGAATTCCCAGCATTGGAACTAATCGGCAACTATCCATAGCCCGCTGCTGAACTCCGCCAGAGAGACCTCACAAATAGAGAAAAAGATTCAAAATCAAGCCATCAAAAAAAGTAATCATGCCTCGCGAAAACCACAACCTCGGTAAGAATGACCCCATGAACCACGGTAACAGACGAGGTCGTCAAGACAGTGACTCGGAAGATGAAGAGCGGGAGAGGACCACGACGACTACAACCACAACTGCCTTGGCATCGCCTCCGGTGTCCCTCCCGCAGCTCATGTTTCATTCATCAGGAGCAGGTTCCAGCAACCCCCCGCTGCCGGCGCCAGAGAGACCCATGGACTTGTCACACGTCCAATCCATTCTTCGAGACGTACTTGAGATGCTAGAGAACGACGACTTTTCGGACCTGGATGGATCTTCCTCTTCTTCTCGTGGTGGAGGGGGAGGCAGTGTGCCAAGGAACGACCACTCTGATGAGTTTGAGGCCCAGTAAGAAGGACGGGGCCTCGACTATCTATTGGCGATTGCTGTGGGTGGGTAAGAGCTACAGCAAGGAGTGACTGAGGAGGCGCAATGCCAATGGTCATTCCTCGTCTGCATATCAAGTGTTCCTGTACAGCCTTCCAGTCAGCTAATCCTTTGAACGGAGAGCTGCGTTTTGAATGGTTGGCTGTCAGCCGCCTGAATCAATCCAAGTTTTGCGATGGGTCTACTTTTGTCATGCTTTCCCTAGATCCATCCATTGAGTTGCTTTCCATGCTGGCTGGTTTGCCGATCCCTGTTACCCTTCTTTTGATTGCCTAGACTATCAGATGTTCCTTTGTACATAGAAAAACCTTACAAAAACTACCGTATCGCCTAGTCTACATGTACTACCGGGAGCTAGACCCAGCCACTGTTCCACCGTTCACATGCAGGACCTGCGAAGCTGGGCAAAGATGACGCATGATGATCGGTCAGATGAAGGCTGGGAAGTACCTATACAAGCGGTTCTTAGCTGGCCGATTGGCCACCATACCGTACCCGTTGAGGATGCCGACCCTTTGGCTCTAACTCCGGTACCGGTATGCTCTGGGC